AACCTTATGAGAAAGAATTTTTCTACTGTTCCAATGTAGAAACCTTTCTTTGTAGACGACAGCAACCCACTTGTTCAATTGTAGTTTCTTCAGGTCATAATCCTAAAGAATTAAAAGAAAGGAGTTAATTTTCCTGTGGGTTTCTAGTTTTGATACCGTTTCCAAAAATTCTTTTAAGTGGGATAAAATAATTTATTGGTTGTATATACACTTGACCTACCCATTCATCTTGATAAGGCTGTTTTGTCTTTGAGATCTGTTTTTAAAGTGAAATTGAAAAACAACTATCACATTTAAGCTTACAAATAATGAGACACAACAGAATAATTGCTTTTCTGACAAATGACACTAATTTGTATGACTAAAAGTTGAAGAAATATAGCATAGATACTTAACTTCTGAAGCTAGGATCCATGAGAAATCCATGAAAAGACAAATCTGAGTTTTTTTGAGCAAAGTAGCCCAGTCTTGTGATGCCTCAATCCTCTCTACTGTGTAAAAGAACTTCTGTATACAACCAAATTGCCTGTTGCATATCAAGTACAAATGTCCCTCTAAAGGAAACTTGAGATCTATTCTCTTAAACTTTTCCTTTTTCACCAGGTGATTGAGGTAAAAAACTAGGCATTCTTTAAATTGGCCCTGAGTGTTATCACACCAGATAGCTAGGGGATCAAATCTGCCATGTTTTGTTTCAACTTTGTCAAGTAGATTGTTCAACAGAGATATTACCTCATTCAGTCCTGCTTTAAAAACAGTTCTTTAATAATATTGAAGTACATTGGGCAGTTTAAACATGATTAAGGACTATAGTTGCTGGCTTAGGAGGCAGTATATATCCAGGAGTGAGGATCTAGATAAGGAGAAATTTGAAGTCTAGGTTAGGGTGGCTAAATTTTGGTTATGGAGAAGTCACAGGTTAGGAGGGAAACTTCAAACTCTCATATCATCCTGAGCAAGAGATATTTAGCTTTCATTTCTTATTACTAGCAAAAAGAACACAGCAAGATGGAATGCGTACCATATTACAATTACGCTTTAATTAAACATAATTAGACAATTTCAACGCAGTAAGTAAAAATTGAATGACTTACCAGTAACCTGGGAGCTCCAAAATGGGGTTTGAGAAGTCAATTGTCATCGACACTTCATGCCATCTGTTAGGCGGTTTAGCCTCCACTATTGCCAAGAGCCTGATGATGACTTATCGGTAACCTGCTAACTCCAAAATGAGGTTTGAGAAGTTAATTTTTATGGACGCTTCGTACCATCTGTTAGG